ACTGGATCTCAAACTGATGAAAGTGATTTAGGATAAACTCACTGCCAACATCATCAAACAGAAAAAAACAGAAAGTTTTTCTCTAAAATAAAAATCATGACAAGGATGTCCACTATTGTGACTCTTTTCACTGTAGTACTTGAAACTTTATCCAGAAGAATCAGGCAAGAAAAAGAAATAAAAGGGGCATACACAGGACAGGAGGAACTTAAATGTCCCCATTCCACGAGTCAGTGGTTGGCACCCTTCTGGCTTCATCTCCTTAGATGACCACGTCCCATCCAGGCCCTGCTCCCTCCAGCTGTCCTGTCCTGTCCACAGGGAAATCCACGGTGCCTCTGTTGGACTACTGTCTCTCCAAGGGTGTGTCTTTTCAGAAGGTACTCAATGGTGCTGTCTCCTTATTTATAGATGATGCAGTCCTGTATGTGAAAGACCTTCAAACTGCACCTAAAGTTTTCTATAACTAATCAACAAACTCAGCAAAGTATAGAACACAAAATAAATACACAAAAAACCAATAGAGTTTTGTTTACAAGTAATGAACTCATTAAGAAAGAAATTAGGTAAGCTTATTCATGGTAGCTTGAAAAATTAAATATATATGAACTAATATAGCCAAAAAGATAAAAGACCTCTAACTTAAAACTACTCAGAAAAGGAGATGAAAGATCAGCCTAAAAATGTAAAGCCATCTCTTGTTCCTGGATAGGCAGAGCCAGTGATGTCAAAATGGCCATATCAAAAATGACATCTGGATTTAATGCAATCTCAATCAAACCAACGTCATTTTTCACGGAACTAAAAAAAAAAAAAATCCTAAATATTACATGAAATCAAGAGAGACCCAGAATAGCCAAAGCAGTCCTGGGCAACAAGAGCAAAGCCTGAATTTCAAGTTATATTACAAAGCCACAGCCACAAAAACAGTGTGATACAGGCCCCAAAATAGAACGTGGGTCAGTGGAACAGAAGAGAGGTTGCAGGAACATCCCAAGCACGTCCAGCCATCTGATTTTTTACAAAGAAGCCCAAAACATATACAGTAGACAACATGGTCTCTTTAGCAAATGGCGGTGGGAGAGCTGGGCAGCCACACACAGAATGAATTTAGATCTGTATCTTTCTGTCCGTATTAAGATAAAATCAAAATGGATCAAAGACCTAGCTATTAAAATAGAATCCCTGACTCTACTAGCAGACAAAATGGTTTAAACTCTTGAGGACATAAATATAGACAAGAACTTTCTGTACAGCATCCCAGTACCACAAGAAATAGCACCAAGTATATAGTAGTATATAAAATTAAAATCACTCTTGAACAACAAAGGAGACAGTCACTAAGTGAAGAGACAAACTATAGAAAGGGAAAAACATTTGCAAGCTACTCTTGAGATGACTAAAACCCAGAAGAGATTAAAAAAATAAAAATTAAGAAAATTAGTCTCAATGAATGAAAGATCCCCCAGAAATGGGTAGTGGAAGTCAGCAGGCACTTCTCAGAAGCGTGAGGCACCAGGGTACACAAGAAGATGTTCAGCAGCTCTGGCCATTAGAGAAATGCCAATCAAAACACCTCTAACTTGTCCTCTTCCTCCAGAAAGAAAGGCTATCATCAAGAACTCAAGAAGCGACAAGTACTGGAGAGGTCTCGTTGTTAGTGGGAATATAAACTGGTACAACTGCTATGTAGATCAGTAGGCAGACTTCCTCAAAAAAATGAAAAAGAAATTTTACTTGACCCAGCCATACATCTCGTGTCTTCCAAAACAGGATTAAAGACACATAGTTACAGTGGTACCCGAGCATCCGCTGCAACAGCAGCACAGCTCACGATATCTCAGTCTTGGAAATGGGTCTGCACATGCATTAAGGAATGAATGCATAAAGAAAATCTATGCAGTGGAGTGCTACTTGGCCATGAAGAATACACGGTGTAATTGGTGGAAAACTGGACGCACCTTGAGTTCACGTTAGGTGAAACAGATGAGATCCAGAAAGTTAAGTGGTACAGTTTCTTTTATATGGAAAACCTCATGTATAAACAATTTTAAAAGCAAAATAAAAAGATAAGTGTTAGGGCGGTAGACCTGCGGATGGGAAGGTGACGTGGGGGGCGGGGAGCGAAGGAGAAACGAGGATCAAGGCGTGGCACGTGTACCAACTCCTCATAATGACTGTACTCACCAGGCATCAGAAAAGAATACCAAGAAAAACAAGTTTTAAAAAATGAAAAGGAAGGAAGGAAGACAAGGAAAGAAAGAAAGAAAGAAAGAAAGAAAGAAAGAAAGAAAGAAAGAAAGACAGACAGACAGACAGACAGACTATAACACGTCGGAGACACACACTCCGACCCACGGCTGCCAGGCCCAGCAGTGGCTGCGTCTTATTTCCTGCTTTCGGAAGCGTTTTCACCTAACTGCTTCAAGCAACTTCCTAAACTCCGGTCACCTCACGCAGTGACGGGAGTCGCAGAGGGGCCCACGGGGACGCCGGCAGTGACCGTCGGGCGCAGGACCGGCTCCTTCCCGACCCACCTCGACCCTGATCCCGACCCGACCCGACGGCCCCGCGTCCAGGCCGCACCCGCCCTTCTCTCTCCCCGCGCTCTCGGGGTCCCCCGGGGGCTCCTCCGTCCCCGCCCCCGCCCCCGCCCTGGGGTCGCGCTGTCCCCGCCCCCCGCCCCCGCCCACCTCTGCGCTTCAGGGTGAAGCCTTCGTCCAGCTCGTAGTTGTGTCTGCACATGGTGTCCGCCACGGCGCGCTTCTGCTCCAGGGCGTCCGGCTGGCTGTTCCAGTTCTCGGCGTCCGGCCGCCCCAGCTCGGTCACGGCGCGGAACTCGCCCACGTCGCTGTCGAAGCGCACGAACTCCTCGCGGTTGTAGACGTGTCTCTCCACGTAGCGCTGCGTCCCGTTGCGCGCGTAGCATTCCTGGCGCGCCTGGTACAGGTAATTCTCTGCGGGGAGCAGGCGCGGCGCTGAGCAGGTGCCACCTCGCCACCTCCCGCCCGCCGGCCCAACCCCGCGCCCGGATGCGCAGGGGAGCGCGGCGCCCCGACCGGCCCCCCACCTTCGGCTGTCAGCTCTGCGCGGACCCCGGACTCAGCGGGAGCCCCGACCCAGCGGCCGGGTCAGTCGCGGGGCCAAGTGTGCCCCGGGGCCCGGGACCTCGGTTCAGAACCGGTAGACGCTAATCTACAAGGCCGCCGCTGTTGCACGCTAATCTTCCCACTCCCGCAGTCTGTGATCTCAGCTAGGTCAGGAAACCTTTATAGGCCTCATTTTCCGCTTTCCCGACCCGAGAGGAGACTGTGATTCTAGCTCGCTGCTGAGGGCTGACTCAGAGACGTTTGGAAGGGGCGGGCAGCGGGAGAGCCAGAGACGTGGCAGGCAGGTCCCAGGGGGCGCAGGGCCCCACAGGGGCGCATTTCTCAGGTAGGAGGTGAGGCAGGGGTGCAGGAGCTGGGAGGGGAGCGTGGGCCGGGCTCTCAGTCTGGTCCCTGTCAGAGGCTGCCATTGGGAAATTTGGCTTAGATGTCACTTCCTCCAAGAAGCCCTCCCTGATTTTCTTCTCTTTCCCACAGCGAAGTGAGCTCTCTTCTGTGTCACTGTCTTGGATACACCCCAGGTTACCCTTGCCTGGCACGCAGGAAGTGTAAAAGTAAATTACCAGATGCCCGTCACATGTGGATGGAATAGTTGAAAAAGATGTGGTACTTTTATATAATGGAGTATTACTCAGCTATAAAGAATGATAAACTCGAAGCCTTAATATTTAAGTGGATGCCACTTGAAGATATAAGTGAAATAAACCAGACCCACATGTGTAAATATTGCATTGTCTGCCTAGTATAAGAACTCAAAAGAGGAATTACATATAGAAACTTACAACACAAATAAAAGGAAAGCGAGGACTTGAGGACTGGACAATGAGGAGTGGGCAAGGAGAAAAGCTGAGAAACATGACGGGGCAAAGCCGTGCATTTGTACCCACGAGATGGCTGGGGCAGTGATGCTGGGGGACATCAGCAGGTTTTTGAGACTAGCGGGTGGCTGGTGAGACTCTCACCCTAACTGTATATGCTGGTGCCCGTGAGCCCGGCGGCTGCGCTGAGGATGTGTAATAGAGGGGTCACGCTTGGAGTGCCTGCCATCCAGGTCTTCTAAATATGTACTTCTTGTCATGAGACACCATTTATTGCCATAATGTCTCTCAAGTAAAAGTCTTTTTTTAAAAAAGGGTAATAAATGGGAAAAAAAGACACAAGAATAAGAAAAAGAAATGTCATAGGTCTATCCTGTTACAATTCTGTATATGGTTAGATTTCTAAATTTCTTTATAAAATATGTAAATGCTTATTTCTATTTTTATAAAATTATTTTTCCTTAAAAAATAAATTACCTAAAACTTTCTTAAAGTTTCTTAGCATAGAGGGATTTCAGGTCTAAAAATGTTATATCTTCACTTTTCAAAGAAATACTTTATTTCAGAAACTGGACTGTACCCTATTTGATGCAAATCGCCACAAGTAGGGACTTACCGGGATGGACTCCCTTGCGCCACATCTGGAGCTGCTGATGCTGGCATTTCTTTATACAGAAGCCTTTCCCACCCCCCTCCCAGGGCCCTGCCAGAGTGCCTGCAGGTACAGGTCCAGACCTACGCAGGAGCTAGGGGCTCTGCTTGGCTGAGTCTCTTTGGGTCTGCTCTGCCTCGGTCACCCCCCGCGAATTCCGGTGGTGTGGTTGTTTGCACATCTCACTCATCTTCTGCACATTAACCTCTCAAGGCAGATGCCTGCTGTCGCTGTATATACAACATCCACCTGGTCTTAGTAAAATTTTATTAGTAAGTGAGTGAAGCAACAGGTGGAGTGCCCAGGCCGTAAGACAGAGCTCTAAATAAGTTTACTAAGTAGTTTTCAAACACAGCAATCTCCACTACTTCACTGAAGAGGTTATCAGAAGTTTCAGTGCCAGACCCAATCTGTCACGCAGCTTCTGACACCACCTTAAGGGCACAAGTGCTCGGGCTGCAAAGCTGGCTTTCCCTGGGATGCTCACCTGGTCACCAGCCCAGTTCATCCCAGTGATTTTCTGGGGGGCTACAAATGACAAACGAGTAAGCTCACAAAGACTCAAATGCACAATAAACTTCGCAAGAGCCTGGGTGAAGTGACAGTGTCAGGAAGTGGGGGCCTGATCCACTGGGTACAGGCGTGTAATGAGGGGCCCTCAGCCCTGGAAAGCGAATCTTTAAAGTCTACCAGAGCCAAACGCCTATCATCCCTACCAGTCTGCTTCCTTGAAGCCCACCTGCTACGCCACCTCTTGCTCAGTAGGGAGGTTTGATCAATGTTTTCTTCCCTCAGTGTTAGGCAAAGACGAAGGCTCTCTTTTGTGCCTTTGCTCTTCTGCCCTGTTTGAGGTCAGGCATCTGTGTGGACCTAGAGGAGCAGGAGGAGGGTTGTAACCTGCCTGGCCACTCTGCCTGCCTTGCTCCGTGGCTCTGACAGTTCTTACTGAACATTTGTTCGGGGCAGTTGCTCTGAGAACCAGGCCTCAGGCTCCTCTCATCTACACATCCTCATCCCATTTCACCTCCAGGAGTTCCTTGATCATTCCCACTGCCATTATCTCAGCCTAATTCCTGTTATGGGGTGATGGTGCTGTCTCCTCTCCCCCCTGGCCTTCATCCAGTGTCCTCCACACACCTCCAGGCCTTGCCCTAGCTGCCTCCCCCTCCAAGTCCCAGGATATCAAAGGCAGAGTTCTCGCTGAGCTGTGCTGCTCCCTGGGGCTCAGTGACCTCTGTAACCCACAAAGGCAGGTGTTTCCTGCCCTCCCAGCAGGTGGAGCTGAGGGAGCGCAGAGGCCCTGGGGTTAGAGGAGCTGGACCAGGAGGTTGAAATACAGCTGGCCCAGGAAAATGAAGGCTGAAATGAGGACAGTGTATGCTAGGTGTGTCCTAGAAGGGGTGCGGAGGTCTAAAAGAAGAAGGATCTATAACAGAAGGGGGAAGTAGAAAACTAAAACACTCTCTCCTGTGATGTTGTGTATAGGGTGCATCCAGAGAGAAGAATGCCAGACACTAGAAGCCACAGAACTGCTCCAAGTACAGAAAAGAAGTGGGAGGCGGAGGTCCTTCCCTTAGTCGCCCCTCCCCAGGCTGCCTGGCTATCTGTAACGAATGCTTTCCACAGACCTCCACTTCCTCATCTCATTCATCCCGTGAGTCTTAATTCACGTGGATTCTCTGACCAGGATTGGGAAAGCTGAAATAACCACCTCCAGTAAGAACCTACGAGGGGAGGAATGCAGCCTGTCTCCTTGCCTCAGTCTTGCCATCCCTCTCCAAGGGGCCGAGGCACCTCCTCTGTCCTGGGGGGTCACACTCTCTCCAGCACTGAGCTCCTCTGAAGAAAATGATGCAGATGTGAGGAATCTCACAAGACTGGCTTTGCTGGCCTTTCTGCCTGGAAACCTTGTCCCCCAGAGTCATTCTAGATCTCTTGGTCTGCTGTCAGAAGCAGGGATGCCACCCCCTTGACCCCTCTCCCCTACCCACCATAACTGTATCCCTGAGAGAAATGCTAGGTTGGCTGGATGGCATCAGGGACATTAGCCTGATTCTCCAGCTGGGAAGGAAGGGCATGGGACCGTGGCAGGAGCCCCTGTAGCATTTCTCAAAGTTCAGTCTCCTAATGAGAACAGCCTCTAGTTGTTCCCTGAGCCACATCTTCCCTGAGCAGGTGGTGTGCTCTTACCTGGAGTGGCCCTGCCGTGGACCGTGGGGTTGAGCAGCGCAAGCAGTGCCACAGTCAGAGCCACTGTCCACGGGGCCTCAGGGGCTTGCTGAGCCATCTTGGTAAGATGGAGAAAGTAGCTGTCAGGAAATGAAGAACTCACTGAATAAACTCCTGGGTGAAATATCACAGACAGCGAGCCCATGCAATCCCCTATGGCCCTGCTATTGGACAGTCTCTGAGAAAAGAACCAATGGGCAGGAAGCTTTCTATGAGTCATCATTCACCGGGCAGACAGTCAACATGAAAGGTCTTGCAATTTAGTGTACGATGTAGTCAAGATGATAGGGGTGATGTTTATTTTAACTATTTGGATACTCATGTGGCTTGAGGAGAGTGTGTGTTTTCTTTGCTCCAAAGCTGATCTCAGGTGCTCTGCTAGTCTATGGTGATTACCATTCTCCCATCACACCTCACGCAGGATGTGGGATGGAGCCAGTGTCATCTCAATGTCTAGAAAGTCACTTGTGCCATGGTTCATAGAGAGATAGATTAAAATGCCTACCTTTTCAGAACAAAATCAGTCCTTGAGTCTGCTTTGTCTCTGTTCAAAAGGATTTTTAGGATTAACATCATTCATATTTTTTTCCTTCAGATCTGTCAGTCTTGAAAGGCAGGGAATCCAGGTTCCCTGTACAGGACCACCATGGGGCTCATTAGGGCTCAGGGTAAAGACCATAAGAGTCTACATAAGCACAGGAGCTTGTGCAGCTGTACTGTCAAGTAAATCTGACTTGGAGGCCATTGTGTTCTCTGGACTCTAATCCTTTGTGTTCTGTGTGGGCCTGAGAGAGCCGATCTTTGCAGCACTGCTGGAGGCCGAATGTGACAAATAGATTGTCAGGTTCACGGAAAGCAGAATAAAACGCTAAAGGAAAAAATTGTCAGGGACCCTACCTTCTCCGAAACATCTTAGTCTATTGTGTTTGTTGTGAATATTTTTTAAAACTTTTAAAGAAAATTAACCTATACTTTACAAATTTATAAATATGATCCTATTGCACCAAAAGTTCTGATAAAGAATATGTTAAATTGGTAACATTTAGGGGGCCAGGGAGATGGCTCAGTAGAATAAGCACTTGCCTGGCAAACGCAAGGGCCTGAGTTCAATCCCCGGTTCCACCAAAAAAAAAAAATTAGTTTAAAAAAAATAAAACAAATTGGTAACATCTATCTGTATCTAATTACTATGTAAATAAAATGTAAGTAAAGTGCTAGTGTATAAACTGCAAGAGGAGACAATTGTGTAGCATAAGGTGTCCACCAAGAATGAGGAGTCTGTATAGAATTGTGGAGTAAAAGTTCAGCTTCAAGTGTTAATTGTCAATTATTTGTCCAATCTTGCATAACTATATCTGTTAATCTGAACAACAGATTTGACAATAAAAATACATAATATAACAACCATTGTTAATTTGTTGTTCTTATTTTCAAAATATGTATTGTTGTATGTTACCCTGTTTCTGTCTTTGTTTCTGCTATTTGTCCTTTTTTTAATTTTTTGGCAGAACCAGGGATTGAACTCAGGCCCCTACACTTGCCAGGCAAGCGCTTATTCTACTGAGCCATCAGTAGAATGGCTCCCTGGCCCCTTCTGCTATTTGTCTTTGCTTTTGTGTTTACTCTTCAAAATAAAATAAAGTTTTAAAAAATCTCAGTTTCTTCAATAAGAGTGGTTAGGTTGAACCTCTTCATTTATAAATGATTCGACAAATGCTTAACTCCTAATCTCTTAGGTAATTTCTCTTTAGAATAGACATTAATAATATAGATTTGACATGAATATTAAATAATACTTGAGAAGCAGCAATACATCTCTTTGCACTAATCTCTTAAGCAATCTTTTTTTTTTTTGGGGGGGGGGTACCAGGGACCAATTTTGGGACCTTGTGCTTGCCAGGCAGGCACTTATACCACTGAGCTATATCCTTGGCCCTTGCATTAATCTCATAATACTTAATTATCATTTACATAGAGAAAGGCTACCACAAAACAAAACGCTGAGGTAGTATATTTCATTATTACATTAAATATTAGATACTTTATAATTTTACTTATAAATAACAAATATTTCAAGATTAAAAACTAAAATAAGATTGGAAAAGTATGGTGAGTAAAATATAAAACAACACAATAAATATTACAGGTAATAAGAAAGCATTAGAGAAATCACTTTTTTTTTTTTTTTTTTTTTTTTTTTTGAGAAATCACTCTGAAAAACAACATCTGGGCTGGGGATGTGGCTCAGTGGTAGAGTATTCCCACTATGCCTGAGGCACTGACTTCAATCCCCAGCATCACAAAAACAGGCAAAGAAATACAAATTTAAAAATAGACATCCAAAAGTCTTCGCAGAAACATAAAAGCAAAATAAGGGACACATCGTTACTGTATTCAGTGTTGCACTGAGTATTATACAAGAATGAAATAAAATTAAAAGTAGTTTGGGTTGGGGGGATAGCTCAGTGGAATAAGTATTGAGTGTGATCCCTGGTATCACACACACAAAAAAAAAAATTAAAAAGAAAATGAGATTATTTCAATCATCTTACACATCAGGAAAAGTCCAATGAAAAGCGTGTATGTAGAAAACTATGTAAGTGTAGCTTATAACTAGTAAAAAAACTCACTAACAGAGGTGGCTAGAAATAGAAAAATATTTAAATATCAAACTCATTCAAGTTAATTAAGATCTCTGCAACTATTAAACTTCTACGTAAAAAATAGAAACATATCTCAGCGAAGTGGGTCTGAAAGATTATTTTTATTAGGTAGTGTATTTATTCCTAAACAGCATGAAATTTTTGTATCTTGATGAAATAACTTTAAAAATTAGTTAGAAAAATAATGAACCAAAAAAAAAATTCAAAGAGAAATGGAATACATAGGGTAGAAACGAGTGTCAGAAATGCAGGAAGACTAATCCTATCAAATCGAAGACTGTAGTATAAGACATTTGCTATCAGAAATCTGTATAGTTTATCTCTTCAGATCTCTTTCTCCAGCTCTGACATGAACTGGAGTTCCCCTGGCCATCCTGGCTTCTGAATACCCTCCCTTCTTCTCCTGAGCCCTTTCCAGGATTCTGTTTACCCAGCAACAGAGAGTGTCAGCTCTAGCTCTTCTCCGATTGGTCTGGCCCAGTCGTGCTGCTTCCTCTCCCCTCCTTTTGGCTGTTTGCTGCCCACAGCTTCAGAGTTCTTTCTGTCCCCATCCTCCTCAGTTCCTCGTCACTGTTGCGTGCTCACAGTCCACAGTTGTGCGCCTCAGCATGAGTCCTGAAGGGAGGATGTTCCAGACCAGAGCTGTGGTCCTGAGCAGCCTCTCCCTGGCTTTCCTGCTGGGTCTCCAAGGAGCTGGGGCCATCAAGGGTGAGTGTTGAGGATGGTGGGACAGGGTCTGGGTGAGCGGTGGGGCAGGCAGGCAAACGGCTGACTGCTTTAGGGGTTAGGGATTTTAAAGACTCTTTGATCTCTTTTGCCTTGTGTCCTTTTTCCTCACTGTATGAGAGTCACTTTTTTCCTTTTTACGCTAATGATCCTAATAGCAATAGCAGCCCCAATTTACTAGACAGCTTTTGAGTTTTTTTCATTTGTACCTCACAAGAACCTTCAAGGGAGGACATCAAATACTTCACTTTGAAGATGAAGAAAACTGAAGCTCAACAGGATTAATGCACTTTACAAAACTGCCCACCAAGTCAAAGGGCCAAGGTTAAGTCCAGGCCTAATAGTAGTGACCAAAATCTGTATTCCCCATACAGTGACTCTAACTCTTTAAGTGACTTCACAGTGGCCACCCATCCCTCGTATTTTCCTGAATCCCCAGCTTCGGCTTTGTGTGGCTGCTTTGGAGGGACAAGAGGTGTGGGCTCACTGGGTTGGAACCTAGACCCTCCCAGGCTCAGTAGAATAAGTGCTTCCCTGGCAAGCACAAGGGCCTGAGTTTAATCCCTGGTTCCGAAAAAAAAAATTAAAGAATTTGAAAGGTAACAATTATAATAGTGTTTTTTCACATTCATAACATAACTAAAGTAAAATGTATGAAAATAACAATACTATAAGTAAGTAGGGAAAATATAAAAGTGTCACAAAG